TATTGCTGGTGGTTTCGTGGGGATGTGATGGAGAGGGGAAACGCAAGGACTTACTGTCCCTCTCACAACGGGACAAGGTCAAACAACCTTTCTTCTCTGCTTCCAGATAAATCTACTGACAGATAAAATGCCGGCAGTTGCCTTGAGCCCCAGTTCCTGATGTCTGCTAAGTATTCAAGAATACTGTTCTCTCACTGCAAAAAGTGAGACGAATTTATACATATTTTCTTCTACTTTTTATCAGTCTTACCTCTGTGTGTTTGTCTCTCGGTACGTGTTTATTCAGTGCTGGATGCAATGGGACCTTAGTCTAATACAGAAAGTAATAACCAGTTTTTTAAAATTCAGGATACTCTATCCATCCAAACAGCGGTTTGTCGGTGCCGTTTGAAGTGAAACTGGAAGGTAATAAGCAATTAAATGGGGGATCACAAAGAAAGGTGAATCATGCTTTTTTTTTTTTTTCCCCGAGAGATAGTGGGTGTAAAAGTGTGTGACTACCTTGTACCACTCCGCGAGGCTTTATTTGGGTTGCAGCAACACAGAAATAACATGGCTGGGCCGCTATTGCCTTTGCCCACTTTCCAACAAAACAACAACTCTGTCTATTTGCCCTGGAAACAGAAGAGGGTGTGGATTTGCACAGCATGCGCATTTATGCTGAAGACATCAGTTGAATGCTGTGAATGCTGTGACTGCTCTTATTTATTAAAAAAAAAATGCGAAGAAAATAAAAGAAAAAATAAAACCCAGCAACAAAACAAAAGAAAAACAAGTCCATCATTATCAGCAAGTACATGAGATGTTATTCATTTGTACCAGCTGTCCTGCTTTCCACAGGGCTTGCCAGTCTCCTGAGTTACTCATTTACTGGGGGATGGCTCTGCGTGTGTAGGGTTTTCCTGTGTTTATTTGAATTGTCCCTGTTGTTCCAGTGTTGGAAGAAGCTGGTCACAGCACAGCGCATCACGATCCTGTGCTTGCGGCGTGCTTGCCAACAGCATTGACGTGACATGTTTCAGATTAGGCAGCTCGAGGAGAGACTATTAGGATAGTCCATGGTTTTTGTTTGGTTTTGAGATCAAACTGGAGTTTCGGTTGCAGTGGTTCTCATACGGGTTGTGCAATGAAGGGATATATCATTCATTCTGAAGAATTTGCAGTCTGTATAAACTTAGGACTAAGAAGGAAGAGAAGAGAGGAGGTTGACTTCTCTATTTTACAGAGGATGAATTCAGGGTATACAATTAGAAGACTTGGCTTTGCTAACTCAAGTTAGTTCTATCTTGATAAATATCGTTAAAAATGAACAATCCCAAATTCCCAAACCATCAGTATTTAATTCCACTGGCTGTCTCATAGGGAAATCAACGCTTTCCGTGGAAATTTTGTCTTCTGTCACGTTTTATCCAGTGTTACTTAGCTTAAAAACATATCTGCCTTCACAGATGAGAGCAAAATAGTGGCATGGTTATCCCACAGCGCATTTCCAGTCTGTCTCTCTAGGCCTGTTCTCTGCACTCCACGAGCAAATGGTCGTGCTTTCTGCACATGCATTAGGCTAATTTGTGTAGTGAGTGATAGCAGGAAGGCAGGTAGTGTTTTCTTTTTTTCCAGTGTGATAAGAGACAAAATGTGAAGTTATTAATACCTCATAAATGCTTCTCTTAATTTTTTCATTCATTCAGCCGGTCGCTCTTCAGTCTTGCAAAGCAGAGGAATAGGGTGGCAGTGCTGGAGAGGAGGGGGACGTTTTCACTAATGCCCTTCGCTAGGGACACGTTCCGGGGTCCCCCTGGCTGCCGTCGCCTGTGGGCTGGTGGGACGCGGGGGGGTTCCCGCACTGAGGATTGGTCTTCAGGCGCAGGCTTTCGGGTGTTAGAGGGTGTGGGGGCCGTTCAGTACAATAAGGACAGGGGGGGTCTTCAGGAGACGCTCGGCCCCTGCCAGTACTGGGCTGAAAGCAGAGCAGAATGCTGCCTGCTCCCCGAAGTAGCTGCCGCGTCTTGGGAGAGACGCGGTGTGCATGGGAGCAGATGGGGGACCATTTGTTACTCGTAACAAAAATTTAATGTGGCGGTTCTGACTGCAGTTGAGCGCAGGAGTGCATGCTGTCATTAAACACAGGAGAGCATCTCTCAGCTGCCGAACTCGGGCCCGTCCGTAGGGGCTGGCACGCCCGCGGGGGTCGCGGCGACCGCACGCCTCGCAGGTGACGTTGGGGTTTCTCCCCTCCCTCTGAAGGACTTGGCCTGTTCTCCTTCATACCTTACCATGGACAGTGTTGACTGGGTGAGGCATCTGCAGTCTCGATTTAAAAGCTGATAGACAGGGAAGGGTTGTTTTCTGTTTTGTTTTTTATTTATCTCATTCCTTTTTCCTGCAGCGGTTTAAATGCGAGCTGGTCGATGTCTGATGCACAGCCTTTCTTGCAAGGCTAAAGTAGTGCAGTGGTCTTTCACCAGTGACCGTCGGAGCACGTTACAGTGAGGTTTGCAAAGTGAACCTCTCGGGTGGGTCGGTTGTAGGTCTGGCTGCGCTCCTATTCCCTCTCAGGCTGTAGCAGTATTCCGTTTTCTTCTCAGTTCATAGGCCCTTTGCCTTTTAATCTTTCTGTCTACAGCTAGACAGTGGGCTCTGTTGGAAGGTGAGCCTGGCTTACCAGGCTTTATTGTCTTGTCGTGATCTCCAGTGCTTTGGGAAGGGTTTATCTTCCCTATCATCATTGTTCCATTTCCAGTAGCCCGTAGGATTTCAGTCCAGCAAGTGTCCGAACAATGGTTTCAACCTTCAGTACCTGTGATCGCAGAGTCGCTTCATACCGGTCACGGGTGACGCTGTGGTTTCCTGAGGTCTGTCACTTTGTTCTCTAGCTCCTAACCAAGTGATGTCTGAGTTGCAGTCAATTCCGTAAAAGATCCTGTAGCTGATGGCTGCTGCTCCTCCAGGCTGTACGTCCTGCACGTCAAGACACCCGGTCACTGGGTATGTGGGTTCCTTACCCTGGAGATCTTTGTTACTGGTGCAGAGACTTGAACCAGTCACTCCTCTAGGGGCTTGCTCCTGGCGCTTGGAGAATTTTCTAGGCTGGAACATGGATGTCCACAGCGTAACTCGATGAAGTTGTGTTAAACCTTTCAAATCAGAGAGTCTCTCCAAGCGGTGGTGGAAGCTCATTACAGGCCGGGCTGTTTGTAATTGTGTTTGAGGTGACAAACCCAGGGAAACTGCGGAGGGGGTGGATGCACAAAGAGCTGGAGCAGCCGCAAGCTGCGGGCCGCTCGCCAGCCGGGGGTGAGCTGCGGCGTCCCGCGGTGACGTTTAAGTTCACTGTCATTAATCTGTTCCTAGTGCGAAGGAGGAGAGGGAGGACCAAGTGGGCTGATGTTAGAAGTCTCCTGTCTTCCCTGTTTTCACCAGAAGGAAAATGCCTTTCCCACGGTCTAGGTGAGGGGAAGGCATCATCACTGTGCCACTTCCCAGCAGTGTTTCCAGCCAGCCGTCCTGCTGCTGGGTTTGGTACAGGTTCCTTCTGCTGGCACAGTAAAACAGCCAAGCTTCTGCTCTCCCCAGCCAACTCGAAAGTCCACTTCCCTCGGTGAGACTTGTTTCAGAGTTCAGGAATATTAAAACAGAACAGAACACACACACGTAGACACACAAGAATCCCAGCTCGGCTGTGACCCAGCTGGCCTCCCATGCTCGTGGGTTGTGTGTGTTCTGAAGAAAGTGTGGCTCCAGCTCTGATTCTTGTACGTCTGTCGCTCCTCACCCAGCCCCCTCGTTTCCCTAAGGTTTGTATTAGTCACCATGGAACGAGAGATCTGCAGGCAGCAGTGCTCCAGGAGCAGTTTGTGGTTTTCTCTTGAATATGCCATCTTTAAATAGTGAAACACAAAACAAAAGCAGCTTTAACTCTCCTGATGCCTTACCTGCCCCGGAGGTTTCCATGTAGACCAGTCTCATTGCACCCAAGTTCCTTCCCAGGCACGTTAACCGAAGTGATAGTAACGTTTGCATGTGTTTCTTGCTTTTTTCCCTGTTCTAGAGGAGAGTGGAATACATAAGGCCGTTGAAGGGGAGGGAGTTGGTAGAATTTTTTTGTGATTTTCATACCTGTTTGCAATGAGAGGTGGCAAAACGAGAGTACCTCACTTCCATTTGGGACACAAAGAGTATTTTAACAGAAATAAAAGGGTGATTTGTTCTACCTGCTTCTGCAAATCAAGATCCTGTGGCAGTGAAAGCTGCGTGGTTGCGAGATAGATTAAATGGTATGCAGCAATCGACTGCGTGCCAGGAGTTGGTTAGATACAGCAATTGCTCACATTCTGTGTTCAGAGATCAGTTCAGGTTCGAGCCTGAGCTCTGGATAACTGCCAGGGCTGCCTTCTTGCCAGTATCATTCTTCAAGGGCAGGGCTAAAATCCTACAGCGTGATTTTAAAAATGAGTAGCGAATAACAGGGAAGTGTGAGTGACCTCCAGTTAGTCCTTTTCATCTCAAACAACCAGACCATATGGAGAAATGCAAGTGGGAGAAATGAATGCAGCAGCTCCCAGAGATAAACAGGAGCCTCTGCTCAAAACAGAGATCATCAGTAAAAGCAGATTTCTAGCTTATTATACCTTGAGTTGGGGGACCTGGTTCTGCCACCAGCTGAAGAGAGGTTTTGCCTTTGACTTAGTTTTCAGTGGAACTGGGAATTCTTTCAAAGTGATGTGCGTAAAATGGGGTGAAGGTGCGGGGAGATATTTCAGTCCTTCGGTTCATGTATGTACTGACTTTCTCTGTAACTTCCCAGGTGCTTATTGCTGCCGATCAGACACGTGCTTGCACCGTCTGGTGTTGAGATCTACTCTGCCTTTCTGTCTGTCCCTTCACCCCCTCCTCTGTTCTCTCGACTCCGCGCCTGAGCAGTGGGTGTTGGCGGGTGGCCTTCGCCCAGGAGAGGGCTGAAGGACAGCCGTAGCCATAACCTGATCTTCCCTTCCTTGCAGGTGTGGTGGAAGCGTGTCTCCTGCACATGCTGAAGCGCAGGGCTGCCGGCTTCCTGCGGACCGACAAGGTGGCCGCGCTCTTCACCAAAGTTGGCAAGACGTATGCCGTAGCTGGGGACGTGTGCAGGAAAGTGCAGGAGCTGCAGCAGCAGGTGGAAAGCAGGTGAGGCTGAGGTCTATCAGCAAAATTCCTATGTCGTGTGTGTGCAGCATGGAGAGGCTACAGAGACTGCTTGGTAAGGCAAAGGGGCCTTTCTTGGCCACGTTTGTTCGAGCTTCGTTCCTTTAGTGTCTGTGACTATAAGGCAGATGGCTTTGTTTGATCAAGCTGGCAGCTAGCAAAAGGGCAGAGGTTGGGAATTGGGTCTTTGGTGTTTCAATTTGCTTCTCGGTATAGCGGGTCAGTGCGTCCAGCCCACACAAAGCAGCAGAAGTAATAACTGGTGATTTTGGAGAGTGCTCACGGTCAGGGCGTGGAGGACCAGTTTGGGCTGTTGGTGGGAAGGGGTGTGGGTGGCAGGAGGAACTGAAGAACAGACTTGCTGGAAGAGCTGTTTTGGCATGCTCCTTGCCAAACCAGTAACAGATGATTTGTGGGTATTATGGTAGAAATAGTTAAGTTAATGGATGCAAAGAGTGATAGAGGGAAGGATGAACTCAAGAAGAGGGCCACAAAGATGATCAAGGGACCAGGCAGCCTGTCGCATGAGGAAAGGCTGAGAGACTGGGTTTGTTCAGCTCTGAGAGGAGAGAAGGCTTAGGGGAGACCTCGCCACCATGTTCCAGTGTTTAAACAGCGGCTGCAAAGAAGATGGAGACCCCTTTTGACAAGGAGTCCCACGGAGAAGGTGAGGGGTCACAGGTACAAGTTACTCCTGGGGAGATTCTGATTGGACACAAGAGGAAAATTTCTCAGCTGAGAACAATCAGCCACTGGAATAATCTCCCCAGGGAAGCGGTGGGTTCGCCAACACCGGGCACTGTTAAGATTCAGCTGGACAGGGGACTGGGCCATCTTGTCTGGGCAGGGCTGTTGCCAGGAGAGGTTGGGCCAGGAGGTCCCTGAGGTGCCTTCCAGCCCCGTGTTCTGCGAAGAGGAGGTCAGCAGTGAGAGACCGGTTAGAGGAAAGCGGGTCAGTACACTCTGGGCTTGAGCACAGCTGAGTTCGTGCTGCAGTCAAGGACCTGAGGTTGCTGGAAGTCCTAAACTTCTTGCTAGAGGTGAGTAGTGCAATTAAAATTGTCCGTGTGTTTCTGCTGACTGACTCACAGTGCGTGAGCCCGTGGGATGAGTGTCTTGAGGACAGGAGCATTTTGTCTTCTGTCTGTAGACAGTAGTGCAGTGGCACTGTGGAGCCTTAAGGGGTCTTTGTAGAGTGTAGGAACTTTGAGCCTCTTGATCAGCTTGCTGCATGAAGGGCTTTGTCGAGAGCTTAGCTTCAGTTCGTGTTGCATTGAAGTCTTCAATTATTGACGGTTGTTTAAATTAGCTTAGATTTCTGTCTAACTTAGATTTCTGTCTAACTTAGATTTCTGTGTAACTTAGATTTCTGTGTAACTTTCTGGCATTTATCTTTATTAGGTTTCTAATTATCAGACTTTGTTATGTAGGTATGCACCTATTTTTTGGATACATTTTTTTAATTGTGTCTCTACTGATATAAACTGGGATTTTATTAATTTTAATTTTTTTAAATATTGGGAAGAAGGATGCTTCCTACTGAAAATCCACCAGCCTTTCTCCTCGGTTAAGAGCCCACACGAACCCTACTCTAAGCACCAGAGACCTTTGGCTGTGTCCTCGTCACAGAAAGGAGAAAATGAACTCGGACTCTGTGGTTTCTCTTGGAGGAATTTCGTGTGTTTTTCAGCTGTTAGTAACAACTACAGACTTTAAGTGCTGTAGAGAATACGCACAGCAAAGAGACTCTAATTGGAAATGCAGCAGGGGGTGGGCTCGCTCCACTGAACGCATAAAACGAGGCAGAAGCGCTGTGGCAGCCTGGTTGCTCCTGAGGCTGTGGCTAAGACAGCCCTTTAGGATGCAGTCGAACACGCTGGAGTTCCTCTGTGCAGCGCTGTCACGTGTATTTCTTGCCTTGGGATTGTCTCACCTGCGTGTTGCCTTGCGCAGTGCTGTCGTGGCCTCGTGGAGGGCTGGGGACTCTGGAAGTGCCGAGGGGAGTTACAGCCCTCTCTCTGAGTAACGTGTTTACATCACCCAAGTAACGTGTTTACTCTTTGTCAGCGAGCACTTTCCTGAAACGGGACCCGGGTGCTGCCAAAGAACAGGATCATTTGGGAACATGCGTTTAAGACATCGGGGTTTCTCTCCTCGTCAGGACAAAATGGAACCTTCTTTTTCTTCTGTTTTAAGGGGAAGATTTTCCGGGAAAGAGCTGAAGAGGGTCGGCGTTCCCTGCCAGCCCTGTGCGGTGCGTGGCGAGGCAAGGCAGAGCTGCAGCAGGGGGAAGCTCTCCCGGTGCTGGGCTCTACCGTCCGGCTGTCCCCTGCCTGGCCCGGTGCAGGGGCACCCACCCGTCACGGGGGGAGCGGGGTGGGCACAGCGTCACCCCAGCTGAGCTGCAGTGGGATTTAGGAGAGGATCTGGGGCAGGGCCCCACCACGGCCGTCACGGGACGCCCTGTGGCTGGTACCACCTCAACAAACGGTGTGTTGTGACTTGTTGGAGCACCTTGGGTGTTCGGCACGGAGCGGTGCTGCCGTCGTGTCTTACATAACTCCTGCTGCAGGCAGAGCTAGCGGGGCGGGAGAGAGGGAACACGAATTCATGCTTCAGCTCCTTTGCTAGGCAGCAGGAAGGAGGAACGGAGAGAACAAACCCATTTTCCTTTTTGTGGGTCGCCTTTTAGAAACTGAAAAGCCCCAGGCAGCACATTCAGCTTCAGAATCGGTCTCTGGTTCCAAATCTGTTCAGGCCACTCATTATCTCAACAGTGACAAGCGGTAATTGGTGTCAGAGCCACTGAAGAAGCGAAGGGAGCGTTGTTGCCTGTGAAAATGTGTTTTGGACACCAGTACTCAGTGGATGAGAAGTGGCTGCTCGCTGTGGCAGGAGGCTGGGCGTGGATAAGCGCATGTTGTGCTGAGAAGGCACAGAACTGCTCCTTGGCACGATGCACATCACAGCTCCAAGCGCGTGAGGCTGTGCAGGGAGCGTGGCGTGCCGGGTCTGCAGGGAGAGGTCCTGTTCGTGCGACAAAACTCCGTCCCATGGCGTGACTGGGGCCCAACATGCCGCTGTCCCCCATGGGGCCGGGGCCGGGCAGATTTTCAGGGCAGCAGATAACTCCCCAGAGAGGAACGACGACGTCCCGCGTGGTGCAGAGCCCACCGCGCTGAGCAGCCCCCGCAGTCTTGTTGACAGCCGCACTTGGGAAGTGATTCTGCTTTGTGTAGCCAGCCTGCCGCCCTGCCACTAAAAGGCGGCGTTCAGCTCCTCGTCTCTGGGGTGGACCTGTTGCCGTGCTGGCTTATGCTGTAGGAACAAGCAGGGGGTCTTGGCTGTAAGCAAGCTCCCAGCTGGCTTTGGATGCTCATTTGCTATAGTTCTAGTTTCTCAGTTTGGTGCTGCTTATCTCTTAGTTGTCTTGTTGTCGTTCTGTAGGTGGTAGGAGATAGGATCTGGCTGCCAAGGCGCCCGCACAGAATGTGCTACAGCTATAGATGGTGCTTTGCAGAGAGCGTGAAACGATGGGCCTGCGCCCTGATTGCCTGACGATGGTGTGGCAAGGGGTCCCTGGGAAAGTTCGGCCTGTGCTGTCCCAACTCCTACTCCGTGCTTCTGGCCTCAGTGGGAGTATCTCATGCCGAAAGAGCTCTGTGCCTTCTTGGGGTCGTGGCGAGCTTCGGCCTGAAGGTACCAGACAAAGCGGGGAGACAGGGATCTTCTTTTTGCCACCCTCCCCGTGGCTTTCACAGCTGAGTGTGAAGCTTTGTTTGATACGAAGCAAACTTCCATTCATCAGGTGTTTCCTTGCTTTCTGCTACACTGTGCGTTTTGTTGTTTTTTTCACTCTTTTGGGGTGCATGGTCTGCAGTGGATTTACAGCCTATTCATCTCAGCCTGGTATGTGGGTGCTTCGGAGGAGCTCGAATGTTGGGCTTTTCCTAAAGCTCCAGAAGCAGAAAAGATATTTTTGGTAGGCAGCTACCTAGCCTGAGATGCTAATACAGGCCTGTCTGGGGGCTTTTTTTAGAGGTTATTTAGCATCTGTCTGTGAATTAGATAATCTTTGCAGACTTGTCCTATTCATAACTTGGAACTGAGGCATCCGAAATCATTAGAGCCACGATTTTCAGAAAACCCCTGATGATGGTCTGACTGAAAGCCCACACCCCAGTGGCAGTGAGTGCTAACAGTCATGCCGAGAGCTAGTGTACAGATAGGCATTTGTCAGATCGTGCTGTGTAATGCCAACACCTCTCCACACAGTCTCTCGCTGGAGCACTTTCTGTGTGAAGAGTCAGTTCTGACTACTTTTACTTCATCTCCTTTTGCAGGAAAAATCAGCCAAATGGGCAGGAACCCCTCAAGAGACAGGGATCAACCACAAGCAAAACCCCCGTCCTGACACCTCAGGCCATCAAACACATTTGGGTTCGGACAGCACTGATCGAGAAGGTGCTCGACAAGATTGTGCAGTACATTGTCGATAACTGCAGGTAAGGGAAGAATCGGAAGCACAGGGATTTGTTGGACTGATGTGCTTAGGTATCGGCAACAAGGGATTTCATCAGAAGTCTGCTGCAAACTTCTGTGCTGCAGACTTCTGGTAAGGAGAAAACCAAGTGCACAGACATTTAGAAAACAATCTACTTTTGTTTTGAGTCACTGGCAATATTTATCAGACTTACAAAAAATGTTAACAGCCATCCAGCTTTCCAGAAATCAGATAAAAAACTGACTTGAAATACATTGGGTGCCCAAATTCTAATGAAACCTAGACCTTAGTGGAATAGAAATGTCTTCTAATAGGTCAGGAGTGCTTAATTCACTTCCATGAGTTGAAAATAATCCTTTGGAACTTTAGGATGTCAGGGAGGAAAATGCCCTTTGTAGATGAAAGAAGGGGAAATGAGTTTAGAACAGGAGTTGTTAATGACCTAAAACCTTAGGGTTGTGAAAGCAGGTTCTTTGAATCATGTTTCCTTTTTAGACAAGTCAAGCCTTGGGTAAAATGAATCTTTCCTTGCAAAGCTGGAGAGGAGCATCAGTGCTTTACGGATGTAATCCACAGGGACTCTCTAAGAGGAGAAGTCAGATCCTCCCCATTCTGTCATTGCTTCCTACTGTCCGGCATTAGCTCTGGTTTCCCAAGGGATGATTCTTAACTTTTACCCTGCCTACCCTCCCGTAACTGGTAAGAATTATGGGGCACACTGGGGACAATTTCCCATAAGAAGAGAAAGGTGGGAACACTAAAGCTTTGGCATGGTCCCAGACAGGTGTGTTTGTTCGCAGTGGTGCTCTTGTAATTCTGCTCTGGGGGACTCGTTCTTGGCTGTCCAAAGCCCGTGGGTCTGAACGAGCAAGAGTGCGAGGGCAGAGGAACTCATCTTCACAGGGTTTTCCAAGTGTACATTACTGTTTTCCTTGTCAGCAGCTTTATTTCCATGATCTATCTTGCCACTAAAAAGAAGGAGAATGGAAGCAAGGTCTTTGTGCTGTTCAGGGGAAACTGTTGCTCTGGGATGTCTGATGCCGCTTTGTTTTAAGAGCTGTGTGCAGAAGAGACGGCGGGAGGGCTGGCTCTGTCCCAGAGACACAGCTAAGGAAAGCATCTGAGTCCACCGTATCACTACGTCTGCTGATATATTATGGATACAAGGATTTTTTAAATTTCTTTTTCCACATAATTAGCCTGGAAACATGTCAAGAGAGTTCAGTCTCAATTGTTCCCTTGCTTTGTACTGCAGCCGTTCACCTTACTGCCTTCTCCATCTGTTCAGATGTGTTAGGATCAGGTCCTTCATTGCAGCGTGTGATGTTGAGAACCTGACTTGGTGAATAAAGCAAACCTCTTCATTTCTCAGGCTTTTTTGTGACATTGCTGCTCGAGTGCTCCATGTTTAAGTCCTTCAGCTCTTCTGTGTTTGAGGAAGAGAAGGTGCTTTAGAGTTTGAGCCCCATCTAGTGGAGGAGACAGCAGAGGATAGCGACAGTTCAAGAACTTCGGGTGTTTTGATGGTTTTTTGGCTGTCTGGTTTTTGTAAGTCAGCTCTACCCGCTGTGATGGGAAGACTTCGGGGTCATTGCAAGAGCTCCTATTTGTAGTAGTTCATTGTTCTTCACAGCGTTTCAAGACTATTCCTCACAGATGGAAGAGATGTTTAAGAATGTGTGGATCTCTTGGTCTCTGTGGAAAACTGACAAAATTGCTTGCAGAGAGTTATTGTTTTGTCTCCATGTTACATTAGTGCCCAAAGCCCCAGACCAAATATACTGGGTAAACACATTTAGCAGAAGGCAAGCTCCTGCCTCTCAAGAGCTCAGCTCAAAAATAGATGAGGCAGAATGAGCTTACTGAGAGGAAGTGGCTTGCCTGAGATTACACAGCTGATCAAGGGCAGAATATGGACCCAAAGTAGGGCTGGTGGTCATCTAGTTAGATGTAGGAGTCTGGAGTGTAGGGTTATCGAACTGGTTGTTCTAGGTTCCTGTTACGCTCCATGGAGCAGCTAGTCAAGATTGTTGATACCATTTAGGAAATAATCTAATTCTAAAGCAGATGTCTAAAGTAGGCTGAATTAATTTCTCCATAGCCTTCTTACAATATATTTTAATGATCTTTAAAAATAGCTCAGGACACACCATGTTGTAAAAACCTTCTTTACCTGCAAACCCAAGACACCATTTCTTCTTTACGAGATCAGTGGAGGATCCAGTCAAGCTCTGTTTGAGGTTTTCGAGGCGGGTGCATGCATCGGTGATTTCTAGGCAATCCTAGCAACTGTCGAGTTCAGGTAATATATGGGGTTTGGATCCCTTTGGTCCCGTCTGTGGCCGTTTAGATACACGGTTTCTTATCAACCCATTGTGTGAGAGAGTTTATCTGGTTATCACAGCAAAATTCCGTTGCTGGAACTTTTGTGTTAGAACCGTAACTAAAACCAGGTTTTGAAAGTGTGTCCTGGTTCAGTACAGGCACAGCACTCCAGAAGTACAGCCCAGATCCTGTTTGCAGCCTTGGTTAAAATCTTAGAACTCTACGCTCTTAAATCTGCCCTTTTATATGGGTAATTTAATGGTCGGAATTTGCTCTTGAAATGAGAGTTTGGCCTCAGTTCTTAAGTGTGAAGTCTGACCTGGGAGGTGACTTCAGTAGTCATGCTGCCCTGCACTGGGCTGCTGGGGGCCACAGGTAGTGCTGGAGGAATTGTCGGGTTCGTAGCAGCCTGGCTAGCGTCTCTGCCCTTACCTCTTGGCTCCCTTTGGCGTGCCCTCCGGTAGGTGGTAATGGGATATTTTTGAAGTCGACAGGCTCATGCTGCTAGGAAGCGTAAGAGCTTTTAAAAATAACGACCAGTGGTTTTAACTGAGCTCTGATCTTTTATTCCTAGTAAATATTATGAAAAAGAAGCTTTACTGTCAGATCCTGTTTGTGGCCCAATACTGGCTTCTCTTCTAGGTGAGTTCTTGCAAAGTTACTCCTTTTAATGCTGGAGAAAACGAATTGTTTCTTAAAACATTTTGTATTATGACAGTGTTACAACGGATGATTTTTATCTCTAGCATGCAGTTTAGCTATTTATATTAAAGGATTGTTTTGTTGCTTACGAGACCAGTAGAGACTGGTCATCTGGTTTTATTATTAATTATTGGTTGGATCAGAGAACAAAATGGAAAGGGCTTTTTACTGAATGCTTGCTAGCAGATTGTAGCTACTAATGCTGCTGTGGCAGGGTAATTGTGTCCTCCAGGAATGTTTTTATACAGCCCTAGATAATAGGACGTGATATGTTATGTGTATGTTGCAGGCTGATCCTGTGGGATCATTAAGTGATCATTAAAATTCACTTGGCTTGGGAAGGAAATCTCCCTTTCGGTACTTGGCCAGCAGCATAAGATTAAGTATGTTTCTGAGCAGACTCAGAAAGTTTCTCCCTTGGGCTGTTTCCTTAGTTGGACCATGTGCTCTGGAGTACACCAAGCTCAAAACAGCAGATCACTACTGGACTGACCCTTCAGCAGATGAGCTTGTTCAGCGGCACCGCATTCATGGAGTACACGGCCGCCAGGACTCTCCCTCGAAGCGCCCAGCCCTGGGAGTAGGTATTCACTGCGTGGCTGCTCCCAGCTAGGGCAGGGGCTGACGGTACAGACAACCCCAGGAGGGACAGATCTGTATCTAGAACAGCCTTGCTTTTCTCTTCTGTATTGGAGCTGTTATCACATATTAGAAGTCCATCTGGGCCCAAGCGTCCTCTTTATCTGTACGTAGAAAAGTTTGAGATCCAGGGCTATATTCTGTGGGGTTTGACACTTCTGTTCTGACCAGAAATTAGAAGCTGCCTTGGACAGGGGCGAGTAAGAGTCCAGGTCATTTCTCTGCAAGGTCTCCCGGCTCCAGAGGTTGCTCCACTCTGCAGAGACGGGTCTAAGTGGAACTGTCCCTGTATTACTGGCCGGCCAGTACAGTCCTTGCTGCCCCACCTGACCTGCCTTGGCTGTGTCTGTGTGTGTGTGCTAGATCCGGAAGCGACATTCCAGTGGGAGCACGTCAGAAGATCGCTTTGCTGCTTCGGCAAGAGAGTATGTGGAGTCCCTGCACCAGAATTCCCGAACACACCTTTTGTATGGGAAAAACAATGTCCTAGTCCAGCCGGTGAGTGCGCTGGGTTACACCGAGGTTTGGGCCAGCACACGCAGCTGCTGCCTGGCTGTGGCGCGAGAAGTCACAAACTGCACTGTATTTCATAAACCAGTGACTGCACTGTGTTCCTTCCCCTCTTTCTAATAGCAGTATTAAGTAGCAGTTCTTTTGGTGTGGAGGTTTCCCTCAGCAGTTCCTAGATAATGCACGGCTCAGGAACTTGTGGGGCGTGGGACGACTGGAACATGACAATTAGTTGTGCACTTGAGTCACCTGGATTGTCTGCTTGTTGCTTCTGTTGAACAGAAAGATGACTTGGAGGCAATTCCTGGGTACCTCTCCCTTCATCAGTCAGCAGATAGTTTGACATTAAAATGGACTCCAAACCAGCTGATGAATGGAACCCTTGGAGACTCAGAGCTGGAGAAGAGGTAGTCATTGCATTCAAGATCGAGGGCATTCGTGGTGGTTATTTCTTGTCTACTTGGCAAAATGACATAAGGCTGATTTAATTGAAGGGCTTCTGAATGGCGCATAAGTTGAGATGTCAGACAGCTTGGGTTCTGTTCCTGTTTTGCAACTTTCTAAAGGTCACTTGGATATAAAGCCTTTTCAAAAGGAAAACCCTGCTTTTCCCAGTGTTGGTGAGAAAAGGCTCGACACCACCTTCCATCATTACAGTTCTAGTACCTCCTCCAGAGGTCACGGATCACTCGGCAAGCACTTGGCTGATTTCAGCCTCAGAGGAGAGACCTGCAATGGCATTGTCTTTCGTTAGATCAGTTATTCATCTGATTTGGCATTCTCCTTCAGTAGAAAGACAGGCAAAGTCTTGAGCCAGGCAGGTTTGTCTCCTCTGGAAATGCTTCCTTCAACCCCAGAACAGCGCTCTCAGGTGCGTAATCCACACCATTCCTTTTCTAAAACTTCATGTGTCTTTTTAAATAGAGCATTAATGAAGCCCTCTACCCTTGCTTTTATTGCTCAACCCTTACAAGGCCCTTCTCCGAAAGCTGTTCCATCTCCCAGTGTTCCATCTGCGAGCCTGGGCCCCGATGGATTTCCATGCTGCTGCCCATAAATCACATGCGCAAGGCAGAACTGAACCCGGCTGTCCTAAAACCCAGCTGCAAGGCCATGGTCAAGTCCATGCCCCAGGCATTTTGATCTCAGCCAGAGCACTGCTGTAACCTGGCATGGGGCAGTGGGGGAAAGGGGAGGGGAAGAGGGAAAGGGAGGTTATGAAAGCCTGGTGCCAGATGTATCCACTCTGGAGAACTGGTTCCTTTCCCTTTTATTTGACTATTGACTTACCTTAATTGACTAAATTTAATAAGCAGGTATTAACTTAGCAAAGTCTTTTTATTGGGTGCTTGGAACCACAAGCACTTCTGAATATGAAGAAAAAAAAAAAAAAAGTTTCCTGAACTTTTTCCTTCCCTGCTAGCGTTTACTGGGACTACGCATTAATAGTGCCGCTCAGCCAGATCGTCTGCATCCACTGCCATCAGCAACGTAAGCATAAACCTTCTTCCCACGGGGATGCCCCCACAGCCCCCTTCTGCCAGGCAAATGTTAAAGCCGCTGCTGTTTTATATGGTGCCTGTTAGGGGTTTATTGCAAAAGGGGGGAAACCGTTTTTCTTCTTCAGGTGTCTCCCCCGAAAGGCCTGGTAAGAGCCCCTCTGCCTAACACCCCTCCGGGGTCAACTGCTTTCCATGTTCTTTGTTTTCTCTGTCTGCTTTGTTTTTTCCGAGCATCTGTGCAGAACGGATGAAACTGTCAGCAGCAGGTATTAAACACAGAAGCTTACAAAGCTTGGGCTGTACAAGCGTGGGCCCTCCTTCCACCGACCTTTATAAAAAAAGGGGGGCCGGGGGTGAGCAGGTCTGTCAGCCCTGTATGTAGTGGGATCATCAGCTGGGGACAGGGAGTGCTTGTAGCCAGAGCCACCTTCTGTCGCCCTCTGACCACCCAGTTCCCGGTAGCCCACTCTGCTCAGCGTAGGGAGGGAAATCTGGAACAAACCATCCCTCCCACTGCTTTCCTCGCCACAAGCCTTAAGTCAAAATCACAGAGCAAAGCCAAAGAGTGTTTCAAAATTTTATCTGGAGTCGGATTTGTGTTACAGTTGGACTGAAGGACCTGTGGAGCCTGTTTCAGAAGACAGTTTATGTACATTGCTCTAAAAAACCTGCACAGGATCGCCACCTGAATGATGGCTTTTCCTCCCTCAGTGGGGTTAACACTTCTGACTAGTTATGGACGTATGGAGATGGTGTTAACATCCAGAATCCTGGCTGGCAGAGGGTGACACGTGCAGTGCTAGTTCTGGCCCGTTTACCTCTGCTGGATCAGCTTCCCCGGGGCCCTTGGGGCCTGTCTGGTATTTCACTGATGGGTCGGACACGTCACCACTCTGCTTTGGGGCAATTCCTTCTGAAAAGGGGAATTAAATGACAGACGTGAAACATGACGGCCTTTGTTGTTCTTCACTGAAAAAGCTGTTTCCCTGCCAGGTGCCAGGCATATCCACAACACGGTTTTTGTTGTTTGCACAAGACGACAGACCCTTGGTGGTCCTGCCCCAGCACCCAGCTACCAGGCTGGAGCTTGCCCAGGGGTGCTGTGAACACATCCTGCTCTCGGACATCCCCCCTTTACCCAGGTGGCTCCACATGCCTCATTCATTCAGCTTTGGAAAAGGAAATTAAGAACCTAATTCACTTATATTCGCTTGAAAACCGTAAAAGATGCAGATTATTGTGCTTAAAAGAGTATCCGTAGCCCAGGGTGGTTTTAGTTTTTTGTGCTAAATTTCTAGTGACAGTGAAGATAGATGAGAAAAATTTTCAACAGGGAATGTGACTTGCTAATTCTCACAGGAATGAAGCTGGCAGCCTCTAGCTATATCCATTGGGTTGGTTTTCATTCTGAATTGTGCATCCTTTGCCAAGTTATGTCATACACCAGAGACTTGGGTTAGTAATTCCTTGATTATTTATTACATTAGTGTTCAGAATCACCCTAACTTTTCTGCATGAGGTCTGTCGTAGTTTGCTTGTATCTTGAGCTTCTTTAGGACTGAGATCATCCTTAGATCTTACAGAGGTTTTATTTAGAGATGATCAGAAATTTACTTAAAAGGTAAGAGCGAAAAATAGAGGTTCTGATGTAACAGTGTGGACTCCCCTTGTCCTCCTTTGCAGCAGAAAGCAGATGGACATTAGTCTTGGTGAGTCAGGATGGAACTCAGAGACCTCCACTGCACTTCCCCCAGGGAGGTCACCTCCTCGCGTTTCTTTCCTGTCTGGAAAACGGTCTTCTGCCTCGTGGTCAGCTGGAGCCACCTCTCTGGTCCCAACAGGGCAAGGTACTGCCTCTTGTGATGAGCGGCTTGTCCTGGGTAGGGCTGATCGTAATGCCTTTGTTCCACCAGCATCCAGCTCCACAGAGCCTGGCATTGATTTCCAGCTGTTTTATAGTGAAGTGGGAGGCAAAGTAACTCCATTTAGTCCAGTTTGATCCGCACAAATTGTTCACACCTTCATCACCCCATTGAGCAATGAACTGGAATCTGCTATTGGATCAGAACCCAAACATAGGGACCGAGACTCGAATGGGCCATACCTGCCATCAGAGGCTTGGGTTGTTGAAGGACTTGGTGCCCAACTCCCAAGGATTGCAAGAAAAAGCTTTGTTTTAAGTACACAGAAAAGTGAAGTACCCCTAAAGCGCCTGCTATTTATGATTCTACTGCTGTTTTCTCCCTCACCTCCTCCCAGTGTTAGAAGTTTAGTTTTAATATTTAAGATGCCAAAGGTCTGACGTACTTACCTTGCTGCCCTGTCACTAATTCATAGCTGAATGTATGAAATCATTATTGTCTCTAGGGAAAGGTATTTCCAAAGCTTCGAAAACGGAACAGCAACAAATCAGTGGACCTAGAGGAAATGCCAGCTGAAGACACTTCCACAGACTACGTGTTCAGAATTATCTATCCAGGACACAAGCATGATAACAGTAAGTGCCTTTGTTCTGCTTTGTTCAAACAAGCAAACAAACAAAAACCCCCAAAATAAAAACAAAAACAAAAAAAACTAAGAAAACTTTGAAGGAATTATCTTGGGAAGTAACTGAAGGTGACAGAGAAGCCAGTGTTTTGTAGGGGGGAAAAAAAGCTCTCACAGAGTTTTGTTGTGTGACGATTGTGATCAACAGGTACGGCTTAGTGTAGGTTTCCTTAATGCGGTGACACTTGCTGTCTTAGTGGAAATGGAGTTGAGGTGGGGAATCTTATTTATATTTACTCTGCGTTTTGCAGAGGAAGTTTTCAAAATACTCCCCTGGGCTTGCAAACTGAGACTAAAAGCAAAAAGATTTGCTTGACCAGCCAAGAGCAGTTTTGCTCCCGAAGTGAGGATATTTTTATTGGCCACACTGCTTGCTCATAATGATGTTACTAGAAAAAAACCCATAAACTCTTAAAGTACCCCAAGAACTCCCTGGGCTAAGTTTTCCTGGCTTGGAAGCAAGAACTTAACAATGGATAAATAAAGGCCTTTCCAAGGGAACTGAATGAACTCCCAAGCACCAAACCACCTCATGTCGTCAGTGAATACAAATCCCTTACACACAGGAAGGCATCCAAGCTAGTCCTCAAACAGCATGTTTGGTTTTATTCCCCTTGGCAAAGAAGCAATAATTTCCCAGGAAGATCAGACCCTAATGTTTACAGGGGATTTGGATTTACTGCTCATACTGGGATTTACTGCAGCTGAGAAAGCGGGAATCTCAGCTGAACCCTCCTTACCCCGGGGCTGAGCCGGGTGGTGGCCATGCTTTCTAGGGCCCGGGGATGTGCCCAGGTAAGTCCGTGCCCACACCAGCGAGAGCGTGTGAGCGTGTTCTGCCTTTGCCTGAGTCAGGGGGACTGTGGATTCGGTGGGCACATCCAGCACAGCCCTGCCTGTGGAGGGCGAGGCAGGGCGAGCTGGCTCCTGCCTCCGCCTCCCTTGCGGGGGGCTGTGCCTTGTGTGCTCGCAGTGCCAGGCAGAGCTGGGGAGCGGGACGCTTGCTGTCCAGAGGCAGCTGGCACAGGTTTCGGAGTGGAAGAGAGGCCGCGGCGTTGATAAGGGCCTGGTGAAGGAGGGAAGCTAGTTGGAGCCTCCGGTTCCCGTGGAGTTTTGCCAAAAAGCGTGCTCACCTGCTGCAGGCTGGCCCTGGGACCTGCCTCCACTGCCACCGTGGGATGTGCGTGCTCGGGGAATACAGCCTCCGCACACTCAAAAGCTGGCCTGTGTTTGGTGGAGCATGCTTTTTTCTGTAAAACCTCATTTTTCATACCCATTTACAGGAGCTTGTGCCTTCAAGAAGAGGGCAGGATTCAAGTCCTTTGTCTTTGCTGAACGTGTCCTTTTGAGCTTTCCCGCAGAATCGAGTTCTCTCTTCTTATGCTCCTCTTTCACTATTTTCTTTGAGCAGTAACTATTAACTACCACCACTTAGCTGCCAGCCGCTCTACCTCTGTTGACGATGATGAGGAGGAGGAAGATAAGCTACACGCAATGCTATCAATGATCTGCTCTCGGAACCTCACAGCTCCTAATAGGATGAAAGGTTTTTATCCTCCTCCCCCTGTGTCCCAGAGCTCTATTGCAGCTCGTTCCACTGATGCATACGACAGTGTTGGCATTATTACAGGGACAAACATTTCACTGGCACCATGAGATCTGGACTGGGCAGAGAGGCTGGGAACGTGCCCACAACCTATGGGAAGGGGAAACAGCAGCATCTTCCCTCTCCTTTGAGCGTGTGCTGCTGAACAGACAAACCTCCTCCCCTTCCAGAGGCTTCCTGCCCCACCTTCATAAAAGCTGGGTACCAGAGCGTGTTCTCCCAAGAGGAGGAGGGAGCATAACGGGTCTTTGTATTCTCCCTCCGTGAGTTAGTTGTGTGCAGAGTAACAGACCGGGGAGGGCAGCCTTGTCCAGGGAGGCTCAGGGCTGAGCCAGTGCAGCAGCAGTGCTGATGTGCAGGGCAGGGTCGGGGATGGAGTGAGCCTGGGTACACAGGACGGGGCAGAAGAGTGGCGAGTGACAGCTTCAGCCCCGAGGTGGCTCATGTGAGCCTGCTCCCGCACTTCGGGTGCCTCTGCAGCACCTCTTCTGTAGCAGAGATGTGCAGAGGTTGCACGGGGATGCAGCACCCTTCTGTGGTCGGGTACTTTCATTCCCCTCCTCATATGCACAGGTTGCAGATGATCTGCTGCAAAACCCTCCAAAAACTTGGTCATCTAAGGCTTTTCCTAAAGCATCCCTAACAGATGTATTAAGTCGGGGTTCACAAGAAGTGTACGGATCGAGGAGAGTAGTTCTGGAGACTGAGAGGCCCCTGCTTTCCTCAGGGAGGAAGCTGAGTGTTGTATAAAATAATTCATTCCCCAGGCCAAACCCCTCCCGCCCGCAGGACTGTGCAGCCTGCAGTCGTTCGGAAGACAGGCGGGTGTTGTCGAGGCCCCTCCACTAGTTTATGTGAAATCTCTCTCCCCGTCTACACTTACCAGCTAGCGCACAGCTTCAGCGCTGCCAGATACCTCGTGAGTGCACGTGCCAGAGCTGGCGTGTTCCTGGTATCACCAAAACAACAGCCTCTGCCTCTTCCTAATAGCTGGAGTGTCTCAGCAAGAACAGAATCTGTGCTGCCCACAGGCTGTAAAGCAGCTGTCAAAGGTCTGACATCTGCAGAGGAAGTAGGAAGGAGAGAGCAACCGCTTGCAAGTTTGCCTCGTCTGTATTTTTTATGTGTTAGATTAGCCTGAACATGAGTTTTCTGGAATTTCCCAAGAAAAACACAATGGATCTTGACTCCAGATAGGACACTCATACCTTGAAATAGCAGGACAGTGAGTTTGGTTCCAGATGGACGTTAGCCCTGGGCTGGTGGGACGGGCTGTAAGAGCCAGTGACTGCTGTGCATCTCTGTCTAGTGCTTAAGTTCTGCTCAGGATGTGAACGGGTTCAGGGAGAGCCTCACGTTTTGTAGGCTCCTCACGGGTAGCCTACCAAAGCCTGCAGGTAGTCCTCACGGGCTCCTCAAGGGTGGTAGACCCTTGAAGCCGATACAGCCCAGCCCAAGATGATAAAGAGCTCTTGGAAGGTGTGGATGGAAAGGAGCTCCAAAAATACATTCCCCTTGATAAAAGATTCTGTTTCAGGAGGTTTCTGTTTGTCTTAACTGATCCTGCCTGGATATGGGTGCCAGTGGAAAGGAGGGTCTAACGCTGCCACGCACACAGTGAGAGGCTAACGCGGTGATCTCAAGCGTAAGAGACACAATTTAGTCTTCAGTCAGGTGATGGAATGTGAAGTTACCCACTAGAGTGGCTGTCAGTTACCTGCTTTTGCTTATTTACCCTTGAAGGTGATGGCAGAGTTAGGAATATGGCTGCTCTCCGCGTAGGGATTCGTGCTGAGCCAGACTGGACTGGCTGTTGTCCCTCCAGCAGCATCCCTTTGAAATAATGACAACACTGTTGTAGCAGGTTTGCTAGCCATTTGCTTTTACATTTTGCAACATGCTCGACTTTTGCATGTAGCTGAAGTTACAGATAATACCACTACAATTAAAGAAAAGATGCTGTTCACTCTAATTCTTCACTAATTCAGGTACCTTTCATCTGAATCTTTAGGTTCTGTGGGGTTCTTTCCTTGTTTCTCTAAAAAAAAAAAAAAAAACAAAATAAAAAAATCAAAACTGAAAAACCCATTTTTCTTGTCTGGTAGAGGGGAGGCAAAAAAAATAATGATCTAAAAATGTTTGTCCAATGGTTTTTATTTGAACCCAATAAGAAGCTGCAATAAATACTGGGTCATTCAGCTCCTTCCTGAAGAATTAAGGTGAAGAGCATTTTTGCATCACACTTTGTTTTGTGAAATGAAACACACATGACTGCTTCCGCATGAGCCTGTGCTTTTCCTGTTAACAAATGTTTTTACTCCACTCCCTCCTCACCTACGCCCACTTTCTAATAGGCGCTACTAAAATGCTTTACGCTACCTTGATTTAAAATGCATGAGATGGTTTGGAACTGCCCCTACCACCACCCAACAAATGTCTGTTTTAAAAGCACGGCCCAGGGGACTGGATTTGACTTACAAATGTTGATTTAGTGACACGCAGTATTATGGCATTTGCCTTAATTTTAATCATGGGTGAGCTGAAAGGCCAGTTATTTATTATCAAACAAAAAACCCACAAGCTCAAATGCCAGCTGGGAAAGTTGAAGAGCTGAAGCCAAGCTTTCTGAAGGCAATGTGATTTTTTTTTTTGGGGGGGGGGGCGTTGCCTTCCTGAAGCTGGTTAAAGAGGCAAATAGGTTTGGTGGAGCAGGGATAAGTCAGGGAGCTGCACTGTACTGTTGGATCACATTTTCCTGCAGAATATCCTACTTTTATAAAAACACAGCGTTGACATTAGTAGGACTTGAACTTTCCTTCTGCGCCAAACATTTTAGGATCTGGTTCTGAGGGGGAAAGAAGCATCTTCTGAAAATAACCGAATCGGTTTGTCTTAATTTCTTTTATGCTCAAATTTTCACTCTAGCTGGACTAGCAGTTCCGTGGCTGACTCCAGGAACTGCAAAATGAGATTCTGAGGCCTGAATTAAATAGAAGGTCAGGTCAGAGGATCTCTTCTGGCCATAAATCACGTTACCGTAGCACTACACAAGAACCAGTTTTAGTTGCTCCTGCAGCACCCTTTTCTCTGTTCTCCTGAAACACGAACTGGGATGCTCACGGGCAAGAAAGGGGGAAATGGTGAGGGGATTTGACTTCATGGGACGGGACCGTGCAGAGCATGCAGCTGAGAGCAGGATTTCTGAGGTCTTCTTGGAATCAAGGCTCAGAGCCTGCCGAGAAGCAAAGCATGAAGCCATCAGGATGCACAGGAGAGGGATGGGGGGGAGGAAAGAAGAAGGTTGATGGCCTGCTGTTTTGTTTGTTTGTTTCCCTAGACACCAGCGAAATGATAGAGATGCAGGGCTTCGGGGGAAACCTGCTTTCGTGGCAGCTGGAGCCCTGCAGCCAGGGCTCCTCCTGTGTCTCCTGTTCGACAGGCAGCTCTCCCTACGATCTGCCCAGCTGCTGCAACTGCATCCATGACAGGTGAGCACCTGTGCATGCCACACTTGGAAGCAGGAAGGTTTTCTCGGTTGCAGCACCAGAGCCATAGAGCAGTGATTTTCAAGTAGTTTCCAACATAAAAAGATAACAGTTATACAGCAAGAAATTTAGTTTATTAAACATAACTTATTAAACTACTCTCAAGTCCCATTTTGGTAGAAAAAAACTTCACTTAGTTCTTTTGTCTAGTTTAATATAATTCGGCTCTGGAAGCATTTTCTTTATCAAGTCGTTAACAATTACAGTGAAGGGCAACAATTCATCTAATTTGACGAGGACCTTTACAACGCACCTGCAGCAGCTGTTGCTAAATGTGCCAGGTGAATCTGTTTGGGGCCAAAATGCTGGTGGGGAGAATGCTCTACAAAGTGTAATTTGTCATTGCTGTTGTCCTTTACCTAAATAAATCTTGGTGCAGGGCAAGAATTGCTATGTGTTGGTCATAGGGCTCAGCATAAAATTGATGGTGACCTCTGTCCTCGTGACCCATTAGGCTCCTGTTAACGTGTCTCCACAGAACTCCCTTAAAGATGCTGTGTGAGAGCATGAAGAGGCAAATAGTTTCCAGAGCCTTTTATGGATGTAAGTGAAGCTTCTTATATCCGGCCCTTGTGGTATCCATATGCTTATCTAAAGAGCACGGGATGTTTGTTTGAGAAAGCCGTGAGTCAGATCACCTCAGGGCACTAGGGTGGACGCGACTCGAGTGTCGGCTTCATAAATCCATCTGTGGGGGGGGTTGCATATAGCACTGGGCCATCTGATGCGTGGTGAGGACAGAGCATAGTGTTACATCACAGTGTAATGCTCTACTCGGATTTTACTAGTCTGCGTAAGATTTATTTAATCTTTGGCTCTGTTGCAATTCTTCATTCTTAGCCGGTACGACGCGAGGTCAGTTCCTGTAGCGTTAGTGGCAGGTTTAAAATGTCACAGCTTCACCTTCGAGAGAGGGCTGTGGCTGGTAGGGAGATTGCTCGGTTATGGAACTGACCTGCTGCCCCGACCGCAGGGCTTGCCTACTGCCGCCACTTGTCAACGGTGCGGACGCATCTGTCTGCCCTCGTGAACCACACCATCGTCCCCCCCGACAGGCCCTCCAGCGCTGCGGGGGGCCTCACCAAGGAGGTCTGGAGCAAGTACCAGAAGGACAAGAAGGTAACGGAATCCCTTTGTGACCCTTACGCTGCCTCCCACACGCTGCTGCATCCCTTCGAATGGGCCCCAGAAGTATTACAGGTGTTTCCTAGTCTTAGCAGGATCACTCCTCTGACCGTCTCTTTTATCCTTTGCTTCTCCGATGATGGCAGAGATATCAATTAACATCATGGCAACTGATCTCACGAGACTCTGGTCTATTAAAAGTTAGATTATTTTTGTGGGAGGCACAACAATTTATATTAGACTGGATTTGAGCTAGGGCCCTAAAGGCTTGAATCAAGTTGCAAAATTTATTTAGTGACGTGCGTGCACTTCACTGTCTTTACACTTGATATCAGGTGTGTATGAGCAGGCCTGAGGAAAATAAAGCTGAATTACCTTCAATACCTCTTTCTCCCGACTGCTGCAGAATTACAAGGAACTGGAATTACTAAGAAGAGTTTACTATGGCGGGGTACAGCACGAGATTCGGAAGGAAGTATGGCCCTTCCTGTTAGGGCACTATAAATTCGGCATGGCCAAAAAGGAGATGGACCAGGTAAGCGCAGCCTTCGGGGAGCTGAGTGATGTCTGCAGAGTACAGACATAGCAGGTGTTAGTCTTTATTATTTAATATTCCGAAGGGAAAATTGCTACTGAGTGACACATGTTAGTAGAGGGATTATGATAGGTTGTCACGTCTGAAAATCGTTAAAAGGGAGTTCACTGAAGTCAGGAAACCTGCGCTCAGCCTCAGCCTGTGACACGCGCTTGCCCTGCACAAATCCTGTTTTCACAAATTTGTCACTTACAGAATGGGGAGACATTGACATTGATAGTGATTTGAGTCATCCCTCTTTTGTGCGGTGCTTTAGCTGAGTGATGGTTCAGAGTGCTCTCTGAAATAACTGTTTTATCTCCGTGACACTGCACCTGCATGTGTGGACTTCTACGGGCTCTGCGAACAGCCCGGATGTTCCTTCTGAAGGGCAGAGTTACTGTCTAGAGGCTAAAAGTACCCAGAGGAAGGCTTGGTTTGTACGTTCGTTATGCTTTTGCTAGACATGCCTCGAAAACATGAGGTGCAGTTTCAGATGAGACATTATTCCTCTTCATATCTCCCGTGCTGCTGCTGACATTGATCTCGGAGTAGCTGCCTGGGTTGTGTCGCGCTTGGCGTTAAGTCTGTGGTTTCCGTTAGTGAAACCGCGGTTTGCTTCGTTACCCTGTCTCCCTTTGCTGAGCTGTTCGTGGCAATACCAACTTCTAACTTGGTGAGTGATCTCATTGGTTACGTTATGGTGCCGGGACGGTGAAGCAGGCTGGCGACGCAGCAGCGCGGCGCGGTCGTGCCTGCGCCCCCTCCGCAGAAGCTGCCGTGGTCCTGAGCCAGCCTGCTCAGAACAGCGCAGGGCCCCAGCTCCTCGCTCCGGCTTTACCCGATGCAGTGTCGCTGCTGTTACAAATGCTCTGTGGCATTTTTCCTGTGGCTTGGAGCCAGAGCTAATCCCTTCCCCTCAGGTGCCGGGGCCCGGGCCCAGGCTCCTGCCGTAACGCGGCTGTGGAGCTGATTCAGGTGCAGAGCAAGAACTCGGCGTAGCCCCGCTGTGATGGGCCCGTCAGCAGCACCTTTGTCGAAGTCCCCTGCAGCCCCTGGGCTCGCGGGCAGTGGGAGCACCAGTCTGCCCCAGTCTGCCCCAGTCTGCCAGCGCCGCCCCCAGCACTGCCGCAGGTCTGCGCTAGGACACTGCCCAGCGGGTGAGCTCTGGGTCTGCGTGTTGGTAAAACGTTGCTTTAACTGACGTGAAAAATCACCCAAATGTTTTGCTGAACCGTTCAGGACAGGAATGAGCTTTGCCCCGGAATGCGATTACCACGTTAACCTGCTTTTCTGGTGTTCCCAGGGAGGTGGCACTCCTGCGGGAGCTGCTCCTGTTCTGGATTACATGGATAAGGAGTGGTTTTATATATCAAACCATCTGGCATTTGCTAACCCCCAATTATTTTATATTCCGAGGGATAGTTTATAACCCTGTGAGCACCTGCAGATCACAAGGGCGGTCTGACCTAGAGCCCTGCAGTAGGAACATGAGCTAGCTTGGAAACAGCAGGAACTTTACAAGCAGCATTCTTCTTACTAAAAATTGCTACAGACAGTTCTGAAGAGGGATGAAATACGCCCCTCAACTGTTCAAACAGCGTCAATCCGGATCCTTCACCCTGAACCCAGTCCCCTTTGTAGGCATTCAGATTTCCTGGCTAGAGTGCGTGCATTAAGACTATTCTGCTGAGCACTGCTGAGGCAAACTCCTGCCCTCCCACGACATCAGCATCGCAAGAAGACGACGTACCTGAGAAGCCGCGAGGGCAGTAGGTCCTGCTGTTGCCTGATCTGCTGGAGGGCAGGCAGATTGCCTGCAAAGAGAAACAAATCCAGATTCCCAGCCAGGCTGATCACTGCCATGGTCCTGCTGGAAAATACGTCTGTTCTGCAAGGGGACTTGTTCAACCAGCCCTTCTTGCATGCAGCACGAGTTTAAAAGAAGTCGACCTTCTAGAGCACCACGTGGACTGGTTCCTCAACCCTTCCTGGTGAAAAGGGGAGGGCCCTTCCAAACAGTCCTGGGAATTGGGTTCAGAGCTTGAGCAGCAGGGATCTGACTCAACTGCAGCACTTCGGATGCAGTGTGAATTTATTACATGTGCATTCGGTGCTCCAGTTTATTTTATTTTAAACTCAAATTTTCAAGAAATACAGGCTACTGGAGGGTTCTTGCATAGACTGCATTTTGCCATCTCCGTTCTCCAGGGGTGTATGAACCATCAGATTTATGATCCATGTGCACAAACAGAAGGTATGTCTGGAACTGAAAAAAGGACCCGGAGACTTAGATTTTAGAGTGGGAGACCTAGAGCCACAACTCATGAATTCTAGCCCCCCCTTCAAAGGGCACATGCATGTACACAGCTAGAACATCAGAGATTTGGCAAGAAGAGAGAAATACTTGGGTCGGTTTGTACATGGGAATTACAGGGAATTCGTAGAGAGATGCTGCAACGTATAAAAGATCTGATCTGCAGAATGCAAGCTCCTGTAGGAACTATTTTCCCCCTGACTTTGTAGCATACTAACACATACTAACCTTATCCAGAATTCTAATGAGCTACTCAACACCAGTGGTAAATAACAGTAATAACTGACTCCTCAAAGAAATGTGCTGTTGGAGTCTAAGGGTCTGTTACAGGAATGACATGAAAACCATCACAACATTTGCACCTACAGGAAACTGAGCGTGTCCTTAACTGAAGGCACTGCCGGTGATTTATCATCTTTGCCTTCTGATGGTATTTTTGCAGTCATCCATCAGAATCTGGGGCGCTCCCAAACGTGGCTGTCCTCCAGCCTTCCACTAACTGTTGTATTTTATGATTTATGACCCGACAGCTACCTCAAGTGACGAACAGCCTGCAGCTCTTAGCGTGACTGCTCTGGCAGCAGCTCCAGCCAGCAGAGCCCAGAGCCTGAAGCCAGCTCACGACTGCGGCTTCTCTTCAGCTCTTGACAAGTGACAGAGTAGTAAAATTACAACATGTCCCTTAATAGCTCAGGGGAGGTTTCTGTGTCTGTCTTCCAACAGAGGAAGCCAGCAGCGGCAAAAATCTGTTTTATTACGGTGGGAAGCAGAGATCTGGCCACGCGCAGAGCAGCCCCGAGCCTGGGCTGTGGGAGTCTCTTCCAGCGTCTGCCTGCAGAGGCTGATGCCTGTGACCTGGAATTCGCTGCAAGGGCTCTGCTGGAGTTGGAATAGAGGGGGAGTCGGGGAGGAGGTGTAACGAAGTTAGGAATCATCCAGTTGGAGGCAGCAGTTGCTGCAGCAGATTGCATCTGACTTGGGTGTGAGGCTTCACCTGAAAGGCAGTGACACCCCTTGCTCCTTCCCGAGCGGTGTCCAGGCGCTGTTGGTAGCGTATGTGCATGCTGATAGGAACCTTTGCTGGCACCTGCAGTGACAGTTTGTTCCCTGAGGTAAATAAGCAGCGTGTCACCACTCCAGTCATCGCGTCCCGGCCACGGCGACGTGTGCTCTAGCAAGAGGCCTTTGGGATCCTTCAGGCTTTGTGTCTGAGACACTGCACTTGCTTTAGACCTCTCCCTCCTGCTTCCGCTCCCCGTTATCGCTGCCTTGCAAGGAGGAGCAGCATTTCAGGCTCTGTCTGTCTGCCTGCAGGTGGATGAGGACATTGCTCTCCGCTATCAGAAGGTCATGGCTGAGTGGAAAGCCTGCGAGGTCATTGTGAAGCAGCGGGAGAAGGAATCGCATTCCGCCACGCTGGCAAAGTTCTCGTCGGGCAGCAGCATCGACAGCCACGTCCAGCGACTGATTCACAGGGACTCCACCATCAGCAACGATGTGGGTACCCCCTTCCCACGGGGGGCTGGGCAGCTGCAGGGGTGCAGCCCGGGGAAGCACAGACGGGCTCGTGCAGCTCCGTCAGTGCCACACAGAAGGTGAAGCTGTAGAGCCTCCATAATAGAGTGAGGAGCAGAGCTTTGTCTGGGGTAGTCCGTAGCTGGTCTTAAGCAGAACCTGCCTCAGGTGCTTTAAGGGTCACCGACTGCAGTGAGCCTTCTCTCAGCAGAGGAGCAGCTGTCTGGATCTCCTGCCTGTAGGTCCTTCATTCAAATCCAGCGTAGAGCAGAAGATTGCTGCTGTTGGAGCCTATCTGTGATTCTGTCATGTCCCTGATGTTCAGGTTGGGTGGGAGTTTGTTTTGGGAGAGGGAACCTCTGTCAGGCTAAGGTAAGATGCTGAGCAGTACCAGGGCAGACTGAATTGACCCCTCTGCAACTTGAATAACCCAGAAGGGGGTTTCTTCTCACGCTGTTGGACAGGAGAGCACGGTGTGCCCAAAGTGTCTCTGGGCATCCATTACTTGGGCAAACTTCAGTTAGCTAACTTATTTCAGTAAGGCAAGAGAGAAGAGATCTTGAAATAGTCCAAGAGGTTTTTAGCAAGAGAAGAGGTAAAGTGGTTGCTTGGTGAAAAGTGTCTGAAGGCCAGTCTTGCCTTCGAGCAGCAGGAGCTGAACGGGACTGTCGGAGGCCTGAGGGGTGCTGCTCCTTGTCAAAGAGCCGTTGCAGTGACCAGCTGGTATTGGTGCTGGTGTTGCAGGCAGGGAAGCTCTGCTGCTTTCCAAGGTATTTCTCGTTGCAGATTATGAAAGGGGGAGCCACCATCATAGGAGACGGGTATGAGATCATAAACTGGTGTTATTTTTAGCCTTGGAGTGTCGGTGTACAGACTGAGTGAGGAGCTCTCAATGATCTGCGTGCAGGGAAGCTCCGTCACTCAGCGATCCCGCTCACTGGCGTCCTGCAGTCATTTCCCTCTCGTGGCTGGAGGTTTGTTTGCTACACTCGTTTCTTCCCTGTTCTCCCCTGCTTTACCCCGATCTCCTCTCCCCTGCTCACCCCAGGTCTTTATCTCCGTGGATGAGACGGACCCTGCGGAGCGGGACCCTAAAGGTCGGGACGACCCCGCTTTCACCGCGGCGCCCGCCGAGACGCCAGCAACTGTCGCTGCCGTAGAGCAACAGTCTGTGGAGTTCGACTCCCCCGACTCTGGGCTCCCCTCCTCGAGGAACTACTCTGTGGCCTCGGGCATCCTGTCCAGCATCGAGGACGGGCAGAGTGTCTCCTTTGAAGACGGGGCTGAGGAGGAAGGTGGCGCTGACCTGGGAGGGGCCGACGCAGACGCGCCCCGGGTGCAGAGAGCTAAGTCGGGCGTCCTGCGGCCCCAGGATTCCGCCTCGGAGGAGCAGCTGTGTTCCCAGGGGGATTATTTAATGGACGTCGCTTCTCTCTGCGCTGCATCCTACACAGTAGGTCACAACACAACTATATAATCCTCTGCACAGCATTGCTTTTCTAGCAAAGACTTGCACTTTTTCAGACAGGATTTTATGAGAGACAGCCCCAAACTAGGAGTACAGGTGGGGGGACGATAACTGGTTTTTGCACCCAAATATTTTCATCTGGGTTTTGAGCTAGACTGGTAATAAAACAGAAAAATAAAAAAAAAAAAGGGTCTGTCTTTGAGTGAGAGGGCAAGGAAAATAATGTGGTACAGTTCTAGGAGCTAAAAATGTCCAGAGACTGAAGGGAGGTGTGGGGGTGTGGACGACACACCACTTGTAAGATTTCAGTTCCTTTAATTCAAGCTAAACCCACATTTAATCAGATCGAAGCACAACCTAAACCGAGATTCAGGACTCCACCATCTCTGTAGTGTCACTCTCAGTAGATCAGTGGTTGAGTTTTTGCCTCTCTCTCCGCTGAAGCTGGTCGGCTGGAAACGGGACAGGTTTGGAACAGTCACCTGTGGGAGTGTGTGGGCTACACCTGGGCTTTCTGACAGTAATCGAGGATTTCAGTGCTCCCACACACCCAAAGTAGAATTGTACTATTCCTTGTTTGTTGGTTCTCAGCTCAAACCTGCACAAAGTCCTGGGAATGCTCTAAACTCAGCAGATCTAAAACTTTTCTCTTCTAGATAGAGTTATTGGACACTGTTGCCTTAAATTTGCACAGAATTGATAAAGATGTCCAGAGATGTGATCGGAATTACTGGTATTTCACTGCTGATAACCTGGAGAAACTCCGAAATGTCATGTGCAGGTAATACAGCTTGTAAACTGAACTACTCTTCACATTTCTGTCATAATTCATAAACTGTAATAATATGAAAATAACGGTCTGTATAAAAACTCTCACTAATGAACTTAAAACCTGCAGGAAGGAGGCACGGGTAGGACGGTAGGTTGGAGAGCACGGGTGACAGGCAGTCCAAGTCTGGAATGCAGGTTTGAGAAGATTCCACCTCGAGAACAAACCCTGACCTGTTCTCTCGATGTGCTCGGGCTCCCTGCTCACGGGGGAACCCTCCCCGCCCCAAGGGCGAGCTGTAAGGATACAGGAGTTGTGAGGGGCATCCCCTCAGCAGCCAGAAAGGTGCCTCTTCAAACCAAACCAGCCCCTCTGGCCCAGAGCAGCTGCACTCACAGGGAAGCTGGTTTTCACTTTGAGGAATGCAAATTGCCATGAAGGCTCCTCAGCTAAACACACGTGAAGCAGAGAGTGTCACCGACTTTAACACTCGGAAAAAATACCAAGGTTCCACCTAGGGTAGAAAACAAAAGCCAAAAAACCCGTAGGTACCTTTTAAAAATCTGGTCCTTTTTCCATAGACTGTTACACTTCTGTAGCTGCTTTTTCACAAACCATCGGTGCCCAAGCTCTGTGCGTAGGGTCGGGTCCTCTCCATCCAAGCAGAGAACAATGCAGGGCCATGAAATACTCTGGAATGTGAAGTTCCAGAGACTCATACGTTCAACAGCTGCTTAAGATTTGATCTTGCATCATCAAATTAGACTTCAATACAATATTTAGCTTTCGAGGGACAGGAAGAGAAAAACCCAATATTAATTCATCCTGTAAGTCGACGTCTGATCGCATTCTTTCACCCTTTCACAACACATGAAGAGCCTACAGCAAGAGCCAGGTTACAGGAGCTGTTCCTGTCTCACATGCAGCTCTGGCCTCATCGTGGTTTGTTTATAAAGCCTTTAGGAATTTTTCTGAAAAAAAAAACCTCAGCAGAAACACGCATCATTTTACACCAGTATGTTGGAAGATTTGAGTTGTTGTAGTTCTCTGGACTTGTGGCTTTATCTTTCACAGCACTCCAGAACGAGACACTGAAAAGCTTCCAAAAGGAGTTGTGTTTTAGGTGCAAGACAAATTTGTGAGGCAAGAGGATTTTTAATCCTAATACCTCTTGTGTTTTTCTTCTTTCTGCAGTTACGTGTGGGAGCACCTCGAAGTTGGTTACGTCCAAGGCATGTGTGACCTCCTGGCACCTCTGATGGTTATACTTGACAATGGTAGGAAGGGTTTTCTTTCGGAACACGCTGGTATCTTTGGGGAGGCCTTTCTTTAGAAATGCTCTTTCGGAAGAAGTTGGATGCATTCGCCAGGGCTGCTCACCCCGAAAATCAAACCTGCAGCTCTTGATTGGCATTTTCTCTCCATGTGGCTGTTGTTGAAACGGCTGACAGTAGTACTGGGGGCATTCCCTGTTCGCTTACTGACTGCCAGATTAAATTCTACTAAATTCTCAAAGCAGCTCTCTTCTGGCAGTTCCTGGAGCTGAAAACGCAGCTGCAAGCTGGTTCTTTTGAAACATAACTAGTAAAAATGGTCCGGAGGCAAGTATTGTCTTGTTTCATCCAGATGCTGGTGATGGGGTTAGGGAGCAGCAGAGGGGAAGCCCCTGTTTTTCCCCTGCCCTGCAGTTTGTCATTTTGGTTCAAGGCAGTCACACAATTGGCCACAGCGTGTGTTCTGCATTCTGTCTGCAGATCAACTGGCGTACAGCTGCTTCAGCCACCTGATGAAGAGGATGAGCCAGAACTTCCCCAATGGAGGTGCTATGGACACACACTTTGCCAACATGCGCTCCCTGATCCAGGTGCGTCTTGTAATCTCATCAGAAAGAAGCTGAGGTTGTGGCGGAGGCTCGGAACCAGCCTGATGCCACGGCGAAGGGCAGGAACACCAGTGACTGGGGTTCCCAGTCACCTGGTGCTTCAGAGCTGGGGAGGACAGGAATTGGTTTTTATTGTGGGTGATAAAGCGCAGCTCAGAAGCCTGAACCAGGCTCCAAGACCTTTGGTCTCGGCTACTTTCAGACAGGACACTGACTGTTGTTTTGCCTTTTAGATTCTAGACTCTGAGCTTTTTGAATTGATGCACCAGAATGGAGATTACACCCACTTTTACTTCTGCTATCGCTGGTTCCTGCTTGACTTTAAAAGAGGTAATAATGTTCTGTGCCTGTAGTTTAGAGTTGTGCAAAAGTGTGAACAGCTCTGTGTTTGGTCTAAATGTCTGGATGGTGAGTAGCAGCCAGGCTGACGAGAGAGCTCGTAGCTAGGAAAGCTGATGCGCCTCAGAGATGAGCCAGCGCGGGATGAAGTCAAGGCTTAGTGTTGTAAACTCCTGATGTGTGGTTGGAGCCAAGTCTCTGCTCAGTGCGAATGCCCAAGAAGGGGATCCCGAGCTGATCCCACTCCTCTGTAAGCTCTGATACCTCCTTTCTAATCCATCGGATGAGGAGCAGCGCACAGTAGCGCAGGAGCTGTAGTACTCTGTGCAGCAGGGAGCACCCCAGGATCTCGGGACCCCTGCGCACACCCACCCACCCCCCCAGCAGGATCAGGAGCGGCATCCTGCTGTCGGGCAGGTCGGCTGCTCCCTTCAGCCACAGGCTGGGCTGTGAGAATCAGGGCACGACCTCCCTCTCAGACACCCTTAAAGCACGAAGGGGCTGGAGGGAGAAGATGCACATCCATCAGCTATTTATTATGAGCCACTGTCCGACAGTGAGGGGGAGGAATTGTCACTCTTAGCCGAATACCAAACCCTCTGCCCACTTCAGAGGAAAGTGCCTGTCCCCCACATCCCCACGTGTCACAGACCGGGCAGGAGACGAGCCTCGAAGCTTCAAGATGATGAAGCTTCCGCAGGTCTTGTCTGAATCACAGCACGTGTAGACCCAGCTCACTCCCATCCGCTGGACAATTAATTGTGGCCAGATAAAACCAGCAGCGCTGTAGCACTGACAGAGCCCCTGAAAAGCCAAGGGGGGCCCTGGACACGCGTGTCACCCTCCCTGTGCTGCTGGCACACGGTTACTGCAGTTCAGCGTGTTCCTGGGGTTGCGTCTGCGCCACCACACCTACGTCCTCCCTTCGTGCGCCTTAAACCCCATTCTGTTGCCTTACTCGCCCCAGTGACAGGAGGTGGCCGGAGGAGAGGGGGAGAGGAAAAGGAGTCGTCATCAGGTGCTAGTCGTGTCTGCGTAAGGCCTGTAGGTCATTAGTTAGAGAGGGGGAAATGGTCAGTTTGAATAATCAGATGCTCTTGTAATGTTTATTCCCATTCAGAATTGTTGTACGAGGATGTATTTACAGTGTGGGAAGTTATTTGGGCAGCAAAGCACATCTCTTCAGAACATTTTGTCCTTTTCATTGCCTTAGCACTTGTGGAAGTTTATCGAGAGATTATCCGTGATAACAACATGGACTTCACTGATATCATCAAGTTTTTTAATGGTAAGAGACTTTAAGGGTGCAAAGCAAGTAACAGTGAGTTTGCTCCTTCTCCCTCGCTCAGACTAAGTGCAGCTGGGCCGTGTTCTTGCTGTCAGGACAAGCTCCTGGTCATTCTAAGCTCTGAATCTCTTACCCCTTTGTGTAAATGAAGAGCCCAGATTTTCACACGCTTCCTGGAGACCTGACCCAGCACACACAGACAAGTGTGTTCAGAACTACATGGCCACAGAAGATGGTCCCGCTGTCAGCCTCAGGGGTCAGTTTTTCCACAAAGCGACCTTCAGAATTTCTCTTAAAAAGATTTGCCACGGTGACTCCGCTCTTGGTTTAATGGGAGGCGCTAGAATCTTGCTTCGTTTTTTGCAGAGGTTTCTTGCAGGCTTTAAGATGTCCAGAGCCGTTCCTGTTCACAGGGCTTGGCCCTGCTGAGGCTGAAACATAAACAACTGCTCATGCAGAACATCCCAAACCGCTGCCACGGTCGCTTGCTTGCCGGAGTGGCCCACAGATGCCAGGCAACCCCTACAGAGCAGAGTCCTGCCAAAGCAAGAGAGGGCCCCTCCTGCCTGTAGAACGTGGGTCAGGCCAAGCAAGTCCTCCCCGTTAGGATATCTGAAAAGTTTGGAAACAGTTTTGTGGAATCACAGTAATTCACTAAATTATCAATGCTGTGGCTTTCAGCCATCCAGCTGGGATTTGGTTTTGCCTCACCCGTTCTTATTCCAAAACTGTACGTTAACTCTTCCCTAAAAAAACCCAAACAAACCACAACCAACCCCCCCAAATCCAAAAAAACGAACAGCAAAGCCCCCGTACCTGCCTGAGGTGACTGAACCGAGGGTTGGGGTCTGCCAAGCGCTGCTCCCCGGTGGCGGGTCGGGCTGCAGAGCCTGGGGCAGCAGCTTCTGAGGGGGGGGCCAGGCCTCCCGGCCCCGCCGGGGACTCCTGCGGCACCAGGACGGGCACCAGGAGGGTGAGATCCTGTGCCAGGACCTACGGCACCAAGGGACCCCTCCGCGTGCTCTGGCTTTAGTGCTACAAACCAACCCCCGTGACACTGATGACATTGCCATCGGTGCTAAGGCAGAGCAGTTCCTGCCGCTGACCCTTAAGAATGTTTGTCTGTGTCTTTTAGAAATGGCAGAGCATCATAATGCCGAGGAAATTCTGAGGATAGCGAGAGACCTGGTCTACAAAGTGCAGACACTGATTGAAAATAAGTGATAACGAGCCGACTGTCCCCGCAGGCCTTGCTGCGAGCTAGCGGATGGAGCGTTTCTTGCACTGTAACTACAAAACGGTGTTTTAATTGCATCTTCCATGTAATAAATATCAAAGAGATTTGTAACAGACTTTTAAAACCAGAACTTTTCCTTCACCAGATAAGGTTTGTGTTTGATAGTCCTTGTTACACTCACTTTGTATTCCTAGAGAAAATCTTTTTGCGTTCTCATTTCCCTCTCTAGAAGACCGTCTATCTATGTATTTAAGGTATTAAAAAGGGGGGATTTGACACACTGGGCCATTTCTATTTTGACTTCCTGCACCTTTGCGCCCGGGTGTGGGTGCTGTGCTCTGCCAGAGCCTCCCGGGGAGGCGAGGCCGGATCCAACGCTCACGCCGGCGCTGAAGGGTCCCCGCGGGAGCACGTTCGTGGGCTCCTTGTCTGTGCCTCCAGCGTGGACGAGCAGCCCTGCGGGCACCTGCTGCTGAAACATTTAGCAGAGTGGTTAGCAGAGTTAAAGTAAATAAGGTTACCAGCCGGGAGAGCGGCCTTAAACTAAGTAACGTGGCTGATGTGAGCAGTGACCTGGCGCCACCGGCTCAAACCATCCGTTCCCGTCGCTCGGGCTGTTGCGTCTCGGTGGCCGGCTCGGACGCGCCGTCATTTCAGTTCCTCTGCAAACGCCCCCAGGGGGCGAGAGCTGCCTCGCGGGGTTCAGGTTCCCGGGTTCAGTGCCCAGAGGCGGGTCCCACGCTCTGTGGTCCAGACCTGCCGCCCAGCGCGGGCGCAGCAGAGCCCCCAGGTTACTCACCGCGTGCTGCTCGCCTCCCCTCCTCCTCGCCCCGCTCTGCAGAGCTTTCGGGAGGACGTTTTTGGGATCCTGTGAGCACAAACCGGGCGCTCGTCTGCTCAGGCCGGTGTCAGCACCCGCCCGAGGAAGCAGTTGAAGTTGTGGCTGCGGTGCCCTCCTGGTGCCGCCAGCCCGGCCACGCGCTCACACAGCCGCGTACACGCTGCCCCGTCCTGCCCCGGGTGCAGGGCCCGAGGTGCAGTGGCCCGGGGCCATCCTGGCCCTTCATGGCGCTACGAAAGGATCGCGCGCTCCACCCACCTTCCGAGCACGAGGGCGGGAGCGGGCTCTGCTGATGGGGTTGAGCCGCAGATCTCGTGGGCGCTCGTGACCTTGGGCCTTGGTGTGAGCACGTCAGGTAGTGCAAAGGATTCCACCCTTTGGCATTTGAACCATAGCGATTTAAAAAAAAAAAAAGAAAAAAAAGAGTTTGAATTTCTGTCTCTGCTGTTTTGGTTTGGTTTTCTTTTTTTACCCTTCTGAGCAGGCAGGGTTACACAGCTTTGTTTTCCACTGAACCTTGCAGAGAAAACAGCTGTGTGGTTTTCAGAGAATCACAGGAGGGTTTGGGGTGGGACCTGTGAAGGGCAGCTGGTCCAGCCGTGCCGTCAGCGGCGACACCTTCCTGGAGACGTTGCGTGACTTAGATCAGCTCACGTGAACCTTTAAAAACAGATTTTAGCAAAAAGAGGTGTAGGGAATAAAAATCAGTTTGGAGATTCAAATACTGGCAGGAGGTGTTTATTTTAGTAACTCTGGTCTTGTTATTGCCCGGGCAGCGGGCACGCTTGCTCTTTGCACGAGGCGAGTGCTGCCTCAGGCTCCTCAGGAGCCGAGCGTTGTTTGCACAAGAAAAATGTAATTTGGTTCTAGAACCATCCGTGCTTAGATCTTTCTTTATGTATGCAGTAAACTCAAAGTGCTAAGTAATAGTCTGAAAAGGGGAAAAGTGCACACAGAGTGCTGCTCAGCTCAGCAGCCAAGCCCTCCCTCAAAGTGGTCTCTGAAAACTTGAGGGGAGGGTAAAAAAAACAAAACAAAACAAAAAACCAACACAAAAAACCCCAAACCAAACCTCCAGTTCCCGGGGGCTGGTGCAGGCAGATGCCTCCAGGGACGCGGCTTCGGGGCTCGCGAGCAGCAGGAGCCAGGAGAGCGGCAGCAGCGGGGGCTCGGGCCGGAGCCGCCCCACGAGGCGCACGGCTGCTGGAAGGGCCCCGAAGCGCTGCAGGGTGTGTGTCTGTCCGTCCGTCCACTCCAGAAGGAAAATGGTTTTTCTAAAAAAAAAAACCTGACAAGAGCAAGAAAAAAAATCCTCCAATTCACAGAGCCTGAGGAAGCGATGTAAAAAACTAAAACTGCACTATTTTTCTTTGGTATGTTGGGAATGTACTATACAACCCTGTTTAAAAAACAAACAACAAACCTCTGCGAACTCCATTGTATTTGTTACAACATTCCATCTAATTGTATTTTATGACTATTGTGTATTGACTTATTTTTGCTGGGAGCAGACTATTCTCTTTCTTGCTCAATTATTTATGTTTAAATGTAACATATGAATAAATACTTATCGTCAAGGCATTCCGTGGAGCTCTCTGGAAGTGATTTCTCTCCCCCAAGGTAATTTCAGAGACTGAACAGGGAGTCCTACGGCTGTCTGGGAAGAGAGCGCGCTCTGTAATTAACGTTTCTGTGATGAGCACAGTGCACAGGCTGCTGCACTAAGCGGTATTTTTTAAGTAATGAAGTAGGTCATCCCCAAACGGCCTCCAGACCTCGCCTGGATGACTTTAAGGGCAGATTTAAGTTACCCGCAGCACAGCCTGGGAGCTCCTGTTGTCGCAGGCCGAGCCCGCTGCCAGTTCAGCCCTGGGGAAGGAGTGGGAGCAGAAAAAGGCCTATGACAAGTGTTAAAAAAATAAAGTTTCATCCTGCAATTTTAGGCCTGATCGTGCTGCAGCTAGCAGGCAATCTAGCCGAGCTGTCGGGTTCCCGGGCGAGATCCTCCTCCGCCGCTCCCAGGCCCCCTCCAAACCTCTTAAAAATCCTCCGGCTGCTTCTGTTCTGTACCAGGGAAGCTGGCAGCTTTTGCAGTGTTTTTCCAGCTTTTTTAGGCTGGAAATCTCTGCCCAAAAGTGGGTCCCCGGGGCATAATAGAACGTTTCCCCGTTCCGCTGTAAAAGCACCCAACAGGTTCCTCCGTACTGGGGCGGGTGCAGCCGTTGCTCACCAGTGTTACGGCTGTTACCCTGTATTTATCCTCAGACAAGAGATGAGCCCTTTATGAAGCGTATCCAGTGACATGTTGACTTAAATAATCTTCTAGTGCCACTGCGTCCTCTGCCTTCATCTTGTTTGCATGGTGGGACTCGGGGTGCGCTGGGAGACCCGAGTGCTACAGCTGGGATTACGCACTGCCTTGCTTTGCTACAAGACCTTCGTACTACGCACAACACCCCCCCCCAGCATTCTCTTTGAAAATTCTCAGAAACTGTTAAAGTAGCTGCATCAGGAATTAATTTCAGCAAGATGCAGCATCCCAGTGACGTTTCCTCACTGTGAAAGTCTCACTGCTCCCAACTGCCAGGAGAAAACCAAACCAAAAGAAATGTCCCCCGTTTCCTGCCCCTTCTCCGTGAGCCGGAGCCAGCGCCGGCAGCTGCCGAGGCTTCAGCTCCTTCCTCCGCTCTACCAACGGTTTTGCCAAACGCAGCAACTTGGCCCTGACAGTTCAGTGCCCCGTCTCACGGCATCCTGTTGATCTGCCCAAGCCCGCTTTCCACTTTCAGGAGCTCACCTGGAAATGCTTTTCCGCTTCCCAAATAATGAAAAGCCAAACCAGAACGCCCAGCACACCAGTGGCGCTGGGTTCGGCGGCGACGCTTCAGCCCTCCCAGGGTCTGAGGCTCCCGAAGCCTCGGCTCGGCAGTGCCAGCCCCCTCCTCCCGCCCCGCTCGTCCCTCCGGGCGCTCCCCAACGCTGCGGAGTCGCACAGGACCCCCCGGCCCTGGCAGCCCATCGCTCGGCGGCTACAGGAGCCCCGGGCAGGGGACCCCTGTGCTTCCCCCCGACACCCGTGTCTCTGAGTGTCCGTGAAGGAATTCGCCCCCACACCCCATAAATAGCTCAGAAAGCACCATCTGAGCCAGCCGACGCCGTGGGGGTGGTGCTGGGGGATGTTCAAGGGTGTCAGGGTGATTTCTGCCTCACGAACCTTCCCGGCTCTGAACACCCCAGTGCCTGGCACCCCCCAACAACGGGCCTGATCCGGCTCCCAGCAGCAGTTGGCAAGTCGGCAGAAACACAAGGAAAAGCTGAAAGCCCCAAGCCACAGCCAAGCCCTTTGGTAGTTCACATTTCCCCACCACATCCCACTCTTTAGATTTCTGGATGTAAGAAAGCAAGACGACAGACCAGCAGGGCACGCTGCCTTCCCAACAGGCTGGTACTGGAGTGCCCACACACTCCAGGTTTGATTTTTTTTTTCCGTTTTTTTGGATGCACACTCAGACCAACATTTGCTACAGTTCAGTGACGCTTTTAACAACCCCCACCAGACCTGCAACAATTTTTACATTTTCCTCCTGTCAAGACACAGGTTCTGCAACTTAGAGGTCGCATTGTACTTCCCCTACACAACAGTCACGGTGAAATTTGCTTTCTACATCTCAGCCCTAAAAAGCCGTTGTCTCAGAACACCGTTTATTCGGCTCCACTGCAAGCGTGGCTGGAGACCAGACTCTAAACACCCGGCTGGAGAGGACTCTGCATCTCCAGAGAGCGGACCAAGGAGGGACAGCCCGTTTCCACACCGGCGACAGCAAGTTACTGAACACCTGGGTTATTTAACAGCATCTAATTAACCAAACGCAACGAAGGCGCCTCCCGGGGCTGGCAGGGCAGCCTGGCAGTGGTGCAGCACTGCTTCAGCGCAAGGGCTGCGCTTGGAAAGCAAATGGGGTGGAATTAAGAGCACTTTGGAGGGGCAGGGGGGTGCTGGGGGACTGCGCAAGGAAGCTGAGGATAAAAGTGAAAAACTGCAGCAGCATCAGCGTACAAATCGTGGCCGTGCCTCAGTGTTAACCTGGAGCAAAACACCCCAAATCCCTTCCTGGGTGCAGCCGCGGTGGCTCTGAAGCCCCCCCCGAGCCCCCCAACAGAGCCCTCCCCAGCGCGGGGGGGTCCCCGGGGCCCAGGGCCGCCTCGGGGGGTC